TTCACGAGGAGAATAGGCAAGAGTTCCACTAGGAAAAGTTCATAACAATGGTTCAAAATGATAGCAAGAAAGTTGGCATGCAAGACTACATCAGACTTAGCAAAGCTGCTGGTCGACCTCCAGCACAGCATGGTCGACCGCGTGCCAGCACGACTTGGTCGACCGCGCTCCAGCAGAGCAAAGTCGCGGCTTGCCAGCGTTGCAGGTCCACAGTGTGCCAGCGCTGCAGCAAGTCGGCTGTACAGCATGGCACCCGCAGGACAACAAAGCACCTGCTTCGCAGATGCGCGCAACTGGTTGGTGCGCCACTCCTCGTCCCGTGCACAGGGCAGATGCCTAGATCGGGTCCACGCATGTGACTGTGCCCACCAGCCACGTCGACCTCGGGATACCACCGTGAGGTCGGCCTCGCAGAAACCACCCCCAAGGTCGGTCTCGCAGACTCCACCCCGGCGACACTCGCGCACGTCGCCCGGGTATCCCGGTCAACCGGGCAACCACGTCTGGTCGACCAGCTCGGTCGGTCGTCGGCTGCACAAGCCCGGCGTCCCCTCGTCGACCACTTCCGGGCCCGGCCGCCAACTTCGCCAAGTCGGCGGCCACCCATGGTCGGTGCCCTCCACCCCGGCGCCCTACCGTGCGACGTCCAGCTGCTCGGCGTCCTGCTCTTCGACGCTCTCTAGCTCAACGTCCCCAATCTCTCCTGTCGAGGTCGACGTCAGCCCTTCCTTCGTCGACCACCGGATTCGGTCGACCACCAGGTCGACATCACTTCTGGTCGACCGGCCCCACGTCAACCAGCACAGCTGTCAGCTGACCAGCAGGTCGGCTTCTCTGGGTCGGCGTCATCAAGTCGACGCCCTCCGCAGGTCGACTTCCCAGGTCAACCTCCCCGAAGTCGGCGCCACCCTGAAGTCGGCGTCCTTGCAGTGGCCCCCATGCATGTCAACCTCCTCGTCAACCAGCTCTCCCACTGCTGCAGGTCGGCTGCTCCCCTCACACCCGACCACGAAGTCGGCTCCGCCCAAGCAAGGACGGGGCCAAACCCAGCTCCCGTTGACATCTTGCACCCCGCTCACGGCGGAGTAGTTGTTCATCATGAAGAGCCACGTCCGCACGTTTGCGTCGTCTTGACTTGGGTCGAACGACTCGGGTTTCTGCGGCTTGAGTACGCTTCGACGTTCAGGCAGCGCTTCCGCGCCAGTCGAAGTGTTGGGTGCAGGAGATGGTGCGGCATGACCATGAGAAATAGATGTGAATTCACGAAGCTGTTGCATTTCAGCCCGTACCTGACGATTTTCCAGCGTCAACGTTTCGAGTTGGTGCATGAGTTGAGCAAGCGTGTTGCCCATGTCGTTGGGGACAGCGTTCATAGTTTCACCCATGTCGGCACCGCGTGACGATGACGTCGTAGTCTCGTCGTCGACGGTCGCTCGTTGGAAGTCGCTCCCCACGAAGGCTCTTGATACCAAGTGTTAGGCCCCTTGGCCTAAATCCGCTAAAGATTAGCGGGGTCGACTAAGTCGAGGACGAAATGCGGCAGAAGACTTTGGCGAAAGAATTATTGGCGAAATAGGCGGAGTTACTGAGTAATGGAAGAGTTGAATGAGAATTTGTTGATAATGGCAAGGTTTAAGTAGCATGCAAGAGCGATTGTTGGAAAGTACTTCGTGGGACTAGAAAGTAGAAGGCAAGAAAGCTAGAGTGCCACGTCGCACTAGGATATCTTGGAAATCTTGGATGAGTTGGATGAAGATAAGGTTGGGATGAGGCTGGGGGACTGTTTAGGGTAAGATACCTTTGAACAGTAGAGTACCTTGTAACAGAAAACGGGAAAATGATGTTTGTTTATAGTGTACAGTGGTATTTTTGTCTGATTTTCAGAGTAAATTCTTGTACCAACTCTGATTTTTCAGCCTAGCCCAGAACCAATCTGAGAGCTCCTAGACCGCACTCTATTTCACATGAAAGTTTTGTCTAATAAGGTGCATTCGTGTCTGGACATTTGTGTCTCAATCGCTTTGTGACGCAAGGAAACGTATTATGTCACAAACACAGTCGCGTTTCAACCACCATTACTTTTTTTTTCATTGGTCAGCGTGAAACGCTAACGTTGCGGACGAGTTGCAAATCGACCCGTCACTTGAAAAAAGCCGCACGCTGTTCGAAATGTCAATGCACCTGGACACCCAACGCGAATTTCGCGTGCGTAAAAATGCTCGCGCGTCGGAACCACATCCCAGCCAGGCGGTTGAATAAAAGGGTGTACAATAATTTGCGAAACCCAATCAAATGCGGACAAATGTACATCTCGCCTGGTCGCCTAGCAGGGCTTCGTTTTGGATTTGGCTAACTCACGATTGGCAGTGTAGCTTTTTTAGAAACCCTTCTGAGCAGTGTGAACTTTTTCATTACACTGCCAGAGCAGTGTAACATATCCGTTTTAAAATTTTACCCTGCAACTCCAGTGTGAGATTTTTCCGTACACTGCCACTAATATGTACTTCTTAGATTTAACTCAACTCACATACTTGACAATTTATTTATAATCATTCAATCACTTGCATGCTCATCCTCGCTATCAGACTCTAAAACTGCCTTGCCGTTTCCTGCGAAGTGCTTGTGTGGGACGGGTGTTTTCGCGGGTCTTCTCTTCTTTTGCTTCCGCCAGATCTCCACCACCTCCGGCCATTTGTACTCGTAGTTCAGCATGTTGAGAGTCATCAGCTCGGACAGACGGACGTCTCCAAGCGACGTGCGCATCCAGCTCTTGATGACGTTTTGCCGGCTGAATCCACGCTCGCACTCCACGGTGCTTAGCGGGATCACCGCAAGCGCCTGCCACATGGACACCAAGTTGGGGTAGCTGCGAGGCCAGTCCTTGGTCTTCATCATCTTGGCGAGCCCCTGGTAGAAGTCGTCGTCCTCGTAGTGGCGCGACATGACGTGGCAGAAGCTGGAGTGACCGCGGGAGGTGGCGGAGGAGGAGGTTTCACAAGCGGCGTGCCGGCGCCGAACCCAATCGTTGTCTGCGTGTAGCGGCGATGTTTCAGCGCTGCTGAATTAGAAGACTCCGGGGCTTCGGTGACAATGTCCGTCATCTCCACGTCACCGTGAACGTCGAGGCCCGCCTCATTGCTTGTGGGACGTTGCGTCTCAGCGTCGTCTGAAGCTAGCTCCTGCTCAGGCGGGGGTGACCGTGACACAGCTTTGCGCACAGGAAATTGCCAGCCCTCACTGTCATCCGAGGGCTCAGGCAAAGGGCGAGGTGCAGATTCGGTTACATGGCCTCGCAAAAAATCGAGACCAGTCCTTGGCCTATAGCTACAAGAGGGGTCGCCATCATCGGCATTGGCAGCGTCTCCAGGCGCAGCCATGGCTACCAGGTGGTGGTCGCTCAGCTGCTAGATTGAGTGGTTAAAACAGGAGCGACTTTGGGGTGGTGGTGGAATGACGGTGTCACACGATACTGCTAGCTGTGCTTGCCGAACCCACACGGCAAAGCTTCGGGACAGAAACTCACAGAGCGCCACGGTCGGGGACCGTGGTTTGCATCTCCAAGCACCGACAATCTGAATGTGGTCCCACTCCCAGGACTTAGTTCAGGCAGCAATACTGTAGTTGCTGCCAATGTGGGATTGCGTGTCGTGCTGGCAAGGGAATTATTCCTAACTGACCAATCGGACACATGACAGCGGCCAACGCAAGTACGGGGGGGGGGGGGAGGGGAAGGGGTGCTCTGTACGCACTTCAGTGTAATCTACGATAAGTATAAAATTACCCCAAGGCATCAGTGTGGCCTAGAACGATACACTTACAGATCAGTGTAACACTAACTCATAAAAAAATTACCCCAGCACATCAGTGTAGACCCAAAATTTCACCCTTGTAATCAGTCTAAAGGGTAAATTACACTGCAAACCAGAGCCCTGACGCCTAGTGTCGCGATACATTCAAATTTTGTAACGCGAGGTTCCCAAAAGGTTTCGACGCGACTCGGGAAAAAGGGGATTGAGACACAAATGTCCAGACAGGAATGTACCCCAAATTCGATTACATAACTCATGCATACATACCATTTGCGAATGTACTTGATCAGCATATGAAGTTTTTTGAAAGTGTGTAACACTTTCTAAAAATGTATATTTCGAAAGCGACGCTGCTTGTAATGCAGCAATGGCAACGGCGAAGTGCTCTACGCTCTTCGCCAACTATATAGCAGGGGGTGGAGGCCATTTGGCCTCCACCCACGTCTTCGTTTGAAATTTCAAATGTCTTATTTCATTCTCGTCCGACTTGGCGCTTCCCGTTTTCCTCTGTTTCTCACTTCTCTCATAAAATAGTAGGCATCAACTCAATTGACATGGCACAACGTGTTTCAGAAATAGGCACCCGTCCGCACAATAGGCGCGCTTGATGGGGCTAATAAAGCGACAACGCCACTGGCGCACGTGGCGACGAAATCGCCACAAGCGCGCGTGGCGACGAAATCGCCACAGGCGCGCGTGGCGACGAAACCGCCACAGGCGCGCGTGGCGAAGCAATCGCCACAGGTGCTCGTGGCGACGAAATCGCCACAGGCGCGTGTGGCGACGAAAACGCCACTGGCGCGCGTGGCGACGAAAACGCCACAGGCGCGCGTGGCGAAATCGCCAGTGGCGCACGTGGCGTAAAAATCGCCAGCGGCGCAAGTGGCGCCAGTGGCGCTCATGGTGCCGAAATGGTCAAAATCGCCACTGGCGCACGTGGCTACGACATCGCCAGTGGCGTGCAATAACCAGGGGCTCGTCCAACGGCAGTCGGCACCAGCAGGTTGGCGAAATCTTCAGAGACAAACTGGCATGACATATGCTCTCCTGCTGCTGACATTGTCAGCGGATAACTTATTACCTTGCATATGTTTCCACCTTTTCTTCGTACGTATCTTCGATTTTTGTTTGTCTTCGTTTTTCTCTCGTGTTATTTATTACCTCTGATCGCAGTAAATCGGTGCGAGGCAACTACCATAGCTTTGGGTCGCCATGAGAGACCATCGGCGAAGAAAGACTGCGGCAAACAATTGGCACAACCCCATGCGCTCCCGTGCGGTGCTGGCCAGCGAGCTCCCCAGGGGGGAGGAGGACCGGTGGGTCCTGTGCGGTGCTGGCCAGCGAGCTCCCCAGGGGGGAGGAGGACCGGTGGGTCCTGTGCGGTGCTGGCCAGCGAGCTCCCCAGGGGGGAGAAGGACCGGTGGGTCCTGTGCGGTGCTGGCCAGCGAGCTCCCCAGGGGGGAGGAGGACCGGTGGGTCCTGTGCGGTGCTGGCCAGCGAGCTCCCCAGGGGGGAGGAGGACCTGTGGGTCCTATGCGGTGCTGGCCAGCGAGATCCCCAGGGGGGAGGAGGACCGGTGGGTCCTGTGCGGTGCTGGCCAGCGAGCTCCCCAGGGGGGAGGAGGACCGGTGGGTCCTGTGCGGTGCTAGCCAGCGAGCTCCCCAGGGGGGAGGAGGACCGGTGGGTCCTGTGCGGTGCTGGCCAGCGAGCTCCCCAGGGGGGAGGAGGACCCACCGGGGGAGGAGGACCGGTGGGTCCTGTGCGGTGCTGGCCAGCGAGATCCCCAGTGGGGAGGAGGACCGGTGGGTCTTGTGCGGTGCTGGCCAGCGAGCTCCCCAGGAGGGAGGAGGACCGGTGGGTCCTGTGCGGTGCTGGCCAGCGAGCTCCCCAGGGGGGAGGAGGACCGGTGGGTCCTGTGTGTTGCTGGCCAGCGAGCTCCCCAGGGGGGAGGAGGACCGGTGGGCCCTGTGCGGTGCTGGCCAGCGAGCTCCCCAGGGGGGAGGAGGACCGGTGGGTCCCTTTTTGGCTTGTGGGCCATTTGTAGGGTAGATTCATGGTTGTGCAATTTAGTTACACTTCTCACACACCTTAGGCTTTGAAAGCCTTCAATTGCACGGTCCGGATGTGGTCACACTCGAGTTGGTTGATTGAACAATGTTGTGGTGAGTTTGAAATGGTGCTCAAGTCTAGCAGATCCTACAAAAAAAAAAAAAAAAAAAAAAAAAAAAACACACACACATACAAAGGGCTCAAACGCCGGCAGATTTACAGTATCCGGATACAGATGCATGCACTCTTCGTAATGCGAGCACGGTTGTGACTGCTACAAGGGTTGGGCTCCTACAAGCATCACATCCATCATCACACAAAACACCAATGCCCGTTACCAGAGTCCTCCTATACTGCTTGCGAGTTTGTGTCCGAAGCTCACATGTCAGCCGACTCTCATAAATCAACATTACTGTGCTACACTCGGGGCAACACTTCATCCAAGGCAACAGCAGGGAATACAGCATCACCATCAACATCGGTGCCAGCCTCTCCTTCGTGCGTGATTGGACCTCCACCGACATGTCATCGCATAAGCCACAAACAACCTTTACCATCTCGTTAGAATGACCGCGTCTCATGTCTCAGAAGACCCATGAAACGAAGCTCGTTGCCATTGCAAACGCAAGAAAGCAAGCTTTCTAAATATGAATTTTTTTTAAAGTGTGTAACACTTACTAAAAATGTATATTTCGAAAGCGACGCTGCTTGTAATGCAGCAATGGCAACGGCGAAGTGCTCTACGCTCTTCGCCAACTATATAGCAGGGGGTGGAGGCCATTTGGCCTCCACCCACGTCTTCGTTTGAAATTTCAAATGTCTTATTTCCCACCCACCCACCCTAGCAAAAATTGCATGTTGGAACTTGTAATGTATGTACCATATCTAAATAGGACGAGAATGTTGTAATGCCCATTTAAACGAAGCTCGTTGCCATTGCAAACGCAAGAAAGCAAGCTTTCTAAATACAAATAATTTTGAAACAATAGTGAATATACTTGATCAGCATACAAATAATTTTCCTCGATCCCACCTTGTGAACAAAGACAAATACTATACCAAAATACAGTAATCCACCACCACCTACACTTTTTTCTTCCAACCTCCCACACCTCCACTCCGACTCAATTATCCTACCATCCTTGCTCCTCACAGCTGAATTTAGGCCAGCTCGCCTCTGCACTAGGCACATACCCCCCTACACCACCCACCCCCCACCCTCCTCCCCCTGGTGTACACACCAGCAACGTATCCCCCCTCTCCACCCCCACACTCGCCTTCCCCCCCAAATTCACCACCCTCCCGTCCCGCGCGATCCGCAGCAGATTCAACCCCCGCGCACCACACCCGCCCCCCACACCCCCATTCGGCGCCAAAACCCGTCTCTCGGACAGCATACTAACAGTCGCAGGCCGCAGGAACTCCACCTCCCGTTCCACCCCATGCCCGCCTCGCCTCTCCCCACTCCCGCCACTCCCCTGCCGCAGCCGGAACCTCCTCAGAAGCACCGGGTAGCGTCTCTCTAGCACCTCAGGATCGGTGATTCTGGTGTTGGTCATGTGGCTCTGCACCCCGTCTTCTCCCTGCCATGTCGGCCCCGCCCCCACCCCGCCCGCAATCGTCTCATAATACCCAAACGTCCCGTCGCCAAACGTGAGGTTGTTCATACACCCCTGCGAGTTCGCCGCCGCAGCAAACGTGGAGAGAATAATATCCGTCACCCGCTGCGACGTCAGCACGTTGCCACCCACAACAGCAGCAGCATCGCTCGGCGAGAGCAGCGAATGCAGCGGGAGAGTGATCCTTACAGGTGCCAAGCACCCCTGGTTGAGGGGAATATCCGAGTCCACCAGGCAGCGCAGACAGTAGATGATAGCAGCGGTGGTGACGGCAGTGGGAGCGTTCCAGTTGCCGTACACCTCGGGGCTGGTGCCTGTGAAGTCGAAGTGGGCTGAGCCGGAGGCCGGGTGGATGGAGATGCGCAGGCGGATCAAGGAGCCGTCGTCCATGCGGTCCTCTCCCTGCAGCACCACTACCTGCTTCCCATCTGCATCAGCATCAGCATCACGCCCAGCATCAACCTTAGTAGGTAAGGCATTGTCAGCTGCTCCCTGCTGGTCCTGCGAAGCCTCCTGGGAAGACTGCTGCTGCTCATGAGATGCTTGCTGCTGCTCCTGAGACGCCTGGTTCTGGCTCTCCAGGTGTTTCAAGGCAGTGCAGGTGAGCATGCGTCGCACCACCTGCTCCGCATTCACCTGCACGTACCCCATATAAGCCAGCACCGTTTCCAGCCCACACTCCTCCACAAGCTCCCCTATCAGCTCGATTCCCCGCTGATTCGCCGCCACCTGTGCGCGTAGATCTGATAGGTTATCCTCGATGCGGCGTGTGCCTGGCACACGCCGCACTGTTTTCCCACCGCCCTGTCCGTCCCCACTCAAACCCGCTCCACCTGCCATCACCCCTTCCAACACCTGCCCCTCCAGCAGCACCGCTCGAATCGCCTCTTCCTGGAAAACCCCTCCCTTCACCAATTTCATCGTTCTAATTGCAGCTCCTTCCTCCCAAATACTCCGCGAAAACGGCGGCATGCTCCCAGGGGTACTTCCCCCGATCTCCGAATGATGCCCCCGGCTCGCGACAAAAAATATAATCCTACCCTCGCGAAACACCGGCGTGACTACAGTGATATCCGGCAGGTGACTCCCCCCAGCACAGGGATGATTCGTTACAAGCACATCCCCTTCCTGCAACCCGCCCTCAGCCACCCCCGCCCCTCTCCCCCAATACTCCAGCTGCCACCGCACTGTATCCGACATAGCCCCCAGATGCACAGGCACGTGGGGAGCGTTGGCCACTAGGCCCCCATCCGGGGAGAAGAGGGCGCAGGAGAAGTCGAGGCGCTCCTTGATGTTGGTGGAGATGGCGGTGCGCTGCAGCGTCCGCCCCATCTGCTCCGCGATGCCCATGAAGCGATTGCCGAATATGGACAGCCGCACCACGTCCCAGGGGACTGCGGGGGAAGGAGGGATGGCTGGTGTTGATAGGGGTGCTGCTGCTGCTCCTCCTCCTGCTGCTGCTGCTGCCGCTGCTACTGCTCCTGCTCCTGCTCCTGCTGCTGATGCGGCTGCTGCTTCTGCTGCTCCCTCCACATCACTTTGATGTGCCGTGTGGCTCACAGCAATGACGATATTGCCATACTTGGTGATCCCAGCAGTGCATCCCGGCTCAACCACCACAGTGCTCGTCTCATTCAGAATCACCGCCGGCCCCGCCACCACATGCCCCCACCGCAGCTTCTCCAGCCGGAATACTGCCGTATCCCGCCACCCGCCTTCAAAGTACACCCGATGCTGCACTGCCTCCGCCTCTGCCGTCCCTGCTGCCACCAAACCTCCTGCCACCTCTTCACTTGCGCCAGCCCTGGGAATGGCGGTCTGCTGCAGCACGCCTGAAGGAGCCACGCCCTTGACTCGGATGTCATCGATCAACACGCGCCGATCGCCCTGCAGGTCGAATCCGAACTCGCGCTCGAAGCGCCGCTTGAACGCCCCCAGGAAGTCAAACGACGCTGCTGGGTGGGAGGTGTGGAGGTTGGTGGATGGGGAAGAGGTGGATGAGGGAGTGGTGGCGGAGAGAGTGTGTGTGGGTGGTGCTTCGACCATGAGGGCAGTGTCGGTGCCGTCATAACGAAGGTTCAGCAGCACCTGCGTCCACACCCCTGCCTCCTCCCCACCCTCCCTTCTCCCCTCCCCTCCCTCTCCTCTCTCTCCTTTTCCTTCTCCTTTTCCTCCCCCTGCTTCCCCCCCCTTTCCTTTTTCTCCCTCTCCTTCTCCCTCACTCCCACCCCCCTCCCCACTCCCCCGGCCACACAACCCCGCCCTCACTTCCTCCTCCATCCTTGCCGCCCGCGCCAGCACACGTGGCAGGCTCTCATTGGAGCACACCTCAGCAGCAGGCTCCTGCATCTCAACCACCCGATCCGCCAACCCCATGCCGTACGCACTCAGAATCCCGCACAGCCGATGCACAAAAACTGTGGAGATCCCAAGAGAGCGGGCTATGGCGCATGCGTGTTGAGGCCCGGCGCCGCCGAAGCAAGCAAGCACGTGCGAGCTGGTCTCGTGGCCCCGAGCCTCTGTGAGCTCTCTGATTGGCCGGCACATGGCCTCGTTTGCCACGCGGATGAACCCCATCGCCACCTCTTCTACTGACATTCGGTCTTGCCCTGACTCCTCACCCCCCTCCCCCTCCTTGTCCCCCTCACCTCCCTCCCCACCCATCCCGCGGTTCACTTCTTTTGCCAGCTCAGCCATTGCCTCCCTCGCCGCCTGCTCGTCCAATGGGAGGTCCTCGTTCGGCCCGAAAATGGCGGGAAAATATTCGGGCAGCACGCGGCCCAATAGCAGGTTGGCATCTGTCACTGCTAGCTGCCCGCCTTTTCTGTAGCAGACCGGGCCGGGATGGGCCCCTACTGATGCGGGCCCCACACGTAACATGCCCGACTCGAAGAAAAGACGAGAGCCGCCGCCCGCTGCTACAGTGTTTATGTCCAGCTGGGGGGCTTGGATGGTGATTCCGGCTGTGGTGGTTTCTAAAACCTGCTCGTATGCGCCCCCTGCGTATCTTGACACGTCAGTGGATGTGCCGCCCATGTCAAAGCCAATCACGGGACGACACCTCAGCACTCCCTCTGCTGCTGTACCAGCACCAATAGAATCGTCTTTTGTCTTCTCCTTATCGTTTTGGTTGTTTTCTTTGCTGCTGCTGACGTCTGACAGAAGTCCTTCCAGACCTTCCATTTCCCGAACCTCGAACTCGAATGTGGTTCGGGCGAATCCAACCACACCTCCTGCTGGACCTGACAGGATGGCTTGGTAACCCGTGAAGGCTTGGGCCGGAGTCAACCCTCCGTCCGACCGCATAAACGACACTGCCACGTCAGCAAGACCCGAGTCAAACCCCGCTAAAAACTTCCCCACATAGGTGCGTATAGCGGGGGTCAGATAGGCGTCCACGCAGGCAGTGTGTCCACGTGGCACAATCCTGACCATTGGAACGAGATCGCTCGACGCAGAGACCTGATTAAAGCCCATCTCCCGCGCTAAAGCCGCCACAGCGCGTTCGTGGTCCGGGAACGTGTAAGAGTGGAGGAACGCGATGGCCAATGACTTGATGCCACGTGCCAACACCTTCTCCAGCGCGGCTCGAGTCTTCTCGATGTTAAGCGGCACTAGCACGCGCACCAGCTCCCCCGAAACTCCGCGCACCGTGCGCTTCCCCGCTTCATCCCCACCATCCACCAGACCCACCTCCCCCTTGCCCCCGCCTTCCGCCTCACCATCCCCCTTCCCCCGGCCCTCCCCCTGCGCCTCTTCCCCCGGCAGCACCTGCGCGCGCTCCTCCACCTCCACCACCTCTTCGTACAGCAGTGAAGCGCGCCGAGCCGTCAGATCGAAGATGCGCGGCCGCGCCTGGTTGCCGATCCGCAGCAGATCCGGAAAGCCACGTGTCACGCAGAGAGCCGTCCGCTCGCCGGCGCGCTCCAGCAGCGCGTTCGTCGCGACGGTCGTCCCCATGCGGATCCAGTCGATTCGCTCCGTAGGAAGCGGCGCGTTTCGCGGAATCTTCTCGCCCGTTACCTCTTCGAGGATCCGGCGAATACCTTCCCGAGGCGCGTCATCGTAGTTAAGAGGGTCCTCGGAAAGAAGTTTGACTACACGGAAGGGCGGGTCGCCGGGAACCTCGGCGTAAATGTCGGTGAATGTGCCGCCGCGATCGATGCAGAAGCGGAATTCCCGGCGAGATTTAAAGGCGGACGCTGACGTGGACATTGTGAGAGATTGCAGCGAAAGGGCAAACACTGGAAGGGGAGTAAGTACTAAAGGTGTGCCTCGAGAACACCGCCAATTATATGCGTAATTACCGATGGAGAGCAGGATGAGGAATTTGATGATGGCAGCCAGAATCTGGGTGCGGAAGGGGTCTGCGTTCGTGACGTCATCAGTGTGCAATTTCTCATCGTCCTGAAGCATGCACGTAAGGAAACATATTTTAAAGAAGTGTACCCGATTCATGTTAGGAGCTGATAAATACATGCTGTTTTGCGTGCAGCATTTGGCACCTTTCGACAGAACCACACAACATTTACATCAGCAAATTTACAACCGACGATCATAGGGTATGTGGAATCCCGACATATGAATTTACGGTACACTACACATTGTGCTCCTACACTTACAACACCTACAACACCTAGAGGAACATTCCCTGGAAATACTCGTCAAACTCCTCTTCTCGACTTGGCTCCACTGCCACTGCTGGCTGCTGCCACACATCCTCATTCGCTGGCAGCGTGCCTCCTGCAGAGTGCATCCAGAATCAAAGAATTGTATATACACAATGTACACGATACAACACGTGAACAGATAATGAGTGGCTTGGTGTGAGATGCATGTGCTAGGGATGGTGGCAGGAGACAGCCAAGCTTGCATGTGGCAGCAATAGATCATGCAGCAATCACACATCCGAAACCATGTGCCATGCAGCCCCTGCCTCTCACCTTGAACCATGACATTCCTCGCCTTGCAATCCGCCAAGCCACTTGTGTTTTTTTAGGATTCTCAAAATACAGAATTCTAGAAAAACAGATTCACCCTCTCACCTTGAACCACAACATTCTTCCCCTTGCCATCTGCCAAGCCACTTCCATTCCCCTGAATCCCCTCTCCCTGCTCTCGTCCTTGTCCCTGCCCCCCCCCTCCGCTCTCACGTCCACTTCCTGCTGATTTGCCAATACCCGCCGCTCCACGTACCCCCCCATCCATTCTTGCCTCTGTCCCTTCACATGCCCCACCTGCCCCACTCTCCCTGCTTATCCTGCCTGCCCCACCAGCCGTGCTTCCCCCTCTTTTTCCACACTCGTGCTCCTGCTTCTCCTTCCTAAGCTTAGCTTCCTCCTTCTCCCTTGCATCGTGCCTCTCCTCCCTTCCTGTGCATTCCTTCTTCCTTGCCCTCTCGCTCCTTCCCCTCTTATGCCTCTTTGCATTGTTACCTTCATCGCTATCGCTCTCTGCTGCACCCCTCTTGCTGCCGCTAGTGTCACTGAAATCACTAGAATTACTACGATCACCACTACCACTAGTATCACTCTGGCTGTGGCTGCTGCTCGAGAAACTGTTGCTGTCTCTGCATGGAAAAGAAAGGCAGGGGATGGTGACATGGCCAAAAAAAAATATGGTGGCAAAAAAAGTCCAGAAAGAGGGTGATGACGATTTGGCCACAAACTCGTGGACGTGGACGTGGACATGGACGTAGACGTGGACGTGGACGTGGTCGTGTTTCCATGAGTTGAAGAGTGAAAAAACATGTAGAATATTTGCAACATACCCACAATACTCTTCACCCATTCATTAGATTTTCACTACTGTACGTAATCAAGAAGCAAATAGACGCACAAAGCACTCGGATTCACAAACCCAGAGAACTACCAATCCCACAGTGCTACCATTCACAATCACTCGGATTGAGTACTACCATTCACCATCCCATATTACCTTCGCTTCCTCCGTTTCTTCTTCTCCTTCTGCCTTCTCTCTCGTTCCTCCCTCTCCCTCTCCCGCTCCTCTGCTGCTCGCTGCCGCTCCAGCTCCTTCTCCTTGCGATAATTAAGCTGATACGCATGCCTGGAAAAACAAGCGGTAGTGTGAGGTGAGGAGCGATGGTAAGGTGTTACGTTGGTCTTGAGCCGCCTCAGAGAGTCATTCCTCTTGCTGCCGCTCCAGCTCCTTCTCCTTGCATTGGTTGAGTTGATACGAGTGCCTGAAACAGGCGGTGGTGTGGGATGAAGAGCGATGGTGAGGAGTTAGGTTGCTCTAGAGCCGCATCAGAGACAGACTGCTTCCTCGCCTTTGCTACCTAGCAGCTAAAGCCGAGTTAGTTTTTGTTCAGGAGGCGCTTAGAAACCGACATCTGACTTCGACAAACAAAACATTTTTCAGACGGTTCCATCAATTTCTGATTTGGAGAAGCACACTTGACTACGAGTAATTTCTTAAATGTTTGAATCAAACTCACTCACTTTGCACACACCCTCAGCTTCACCAGGGCCTGTTTCTTCTGCCCGGCTTCATGGTAGGCGAAATTGACCTGCCCTTGATAGCCATGCAGGAACATATGCATGCAAAAATACATGCCGATATACATGCAGGCATACATGCAAGCATATGCAGGTATACATGCCGACATGCCCAAGAAACATGCAGGGGTGTGGGATGAGCAGGGCTGGGCGTGCTCGAAAAGTCATGGAAACAGGGATGCAATGCGAGCTAAGTTGTATACCTGACATGACACGAAAACACGTAAGGGAAAAACCACTTGGTGCCTTTCCAGCTCTAAAGAACTTTCATGCCATTTCTTAATAAACTAAAATCACTGAGCTGCGCTTATGCCATGGAATCAGAAGAAAGGTGAGCGAGCGCATCAAGGAATAGAGGAGTGCATCGAGTAGGCCAATGTAGAAGCGTGTAGAGAGGGTGTTTTTGAGACGTCTCAAAGTCAGTCAACGTAGAAGCACAAAGACTCACTTGGAACACAGAGGCCGTGTATTGAGCGGGCGGATGGGGAGAGGAGGAGGAGCAAAAAAGTATTTTAAGGCTGACAATGCTTCTGTATGACTTGCCTCGTAGCTATGAAGGCCTTCTCTATTGTCACACCCTTTAGTGCCACACACAAACTGACCTGTGGGGAACACGTGAGAAAGAATGGGATGAAAAGCGGAGCAGCAGAGAAGAAAAGGGAACACACCTGGAAACAGTTTTAATCCATTGCTATTCACACGCGTTTTCACACGCCATCAAACGCCATCACACGCCATGGAATCGTTCAAGCCACCTATCATCAAACCAAAGCAGCAATTACACATGCAAGCAGGCATGCAGCGACACATGCACCAATCAGTCACATCTAATTCACCTCTTCACTTCACACACTCACTTTCACCACATCCTTCACATGTCCACTTCAACCACCCACTTCACCTTTTCCTTGCAGGACTTCAGCGTGTGTGCGCCATCGCAAGCCAATCTGAACGTGCGGCATTAAGCAAAAAATGACAGACAGAAACAAGTACTAGTAGAAAAAACAATCAAATTTAGGAAAGCAACAAAGTAGCGAATAGTGCGCAAGCGATGTGCATTTCAACTTATTCATATGCGAAATGACAGCTGTTAGTGTCCGAAACAACTCGTGCAGAATAGCATAGATTCGAGAGGCACAATGACAGCATGATGTGAATACAATGAACTCAGCCATAACACACATGTGATGTGATGTTCCATGCTCGTTTCATACGCATGCAAGCATGATCGATGTACAGACTACCTTGTTCTCCTTGTAACGGCTCATGTCCGCAACACAATACCTGCACCCAGGACAGGCACACACATGATTATGGATATGCTTAGGAGACTCTTGAGTGCTCCTTATGTGATCCCCATCATACATACTGTTGTGTATCGCAATAATTGGTCCTTCAATCCTCAGAATTCTCAGTAAGCACTTGGTCCAAGTGACCAAGTGTCACAACCTTTAAGATATAAGACCACAACCCTCATAGTGTTACATCAATTGGACCTTCTCATAAAAAACCATCACAGACTTCGTCCTTCGTTGTGTGTCACACAGTCACCTGCTGGTCAGGTGTGTTTACTCCTTAAACAGCTGGTCAGTATGACTGATTACGTGCTCAAACATTGTGGTTCAAGTTCAAGTGCTTACTCCTTGAAGAGCTTGTCAGTATGACGACTACTACTCACTCAACTCAAACATTGTGGATCAATTCAGGTTCAAGTGCTTACTCCTTGAACAGCTTATCATAGTATCGCTTGGCGAGCCTCTGCTCCCACGTGCCCTCTGCATCATCCGCCTCTGACCGAATGAACCTGCACCTCGCATTGAGACATGCATTGGTTGGGTTAAGCATGAGCTACGCATGGGTGAAGCATGGGTGGATGGAGTGTGGTCAACGAACGTTAGTGGTGTAGTGTGGTGCTGTGTGTTGAGTGGGATGGGTGGTGTGGTGAGAACCCATATGTTTGTTAGATATGCATGTTGAACAGAGGATTGCACAAGAGGAAGAGGGGGAGAAACCGGGGGAGAGGATGAATGAGCAAGAAGAGGCGAGTGCAGGTGTGTTAGTGACATTGGAATGGGTGAATGAACCAGGACAATGGAGAGAGATTGGAGAGGCTGGGACAAGAATGTGGTGAAGAGTCGGGAGAGAAGTCTAGTTTTGAGGCGCCTCAAAACATTAGACAGCTGGGACAAGAGTGTGGTGAAGGGTGGGGAGAGGAATGGGGATAAGGCCAGGAGAAAAGCAGATGGGTGAGGGTTGAGGAGGTGAAGGGTGTAAAGAACAATGGGGAGAAGAATAATGGGAGACGAGAGCAAAGACGGATGAGGGTACAAAGAAGGCGAGTGCTGAGACTTCCAGGACATGAATGTGTGAGTTGAGAACGTACCTGTACCTCTCTCTGAGAACGTCCAGGTCCGTCTTGAATAAAGGTGCAGCATTGGGGGGTGGCAGGTGGGACGGAGAGACATGTCACACGGGTGTGGGAGTAGGTGAGGTTTTGAGAACACGTCCCATACCTGTAGCTCTCCCTGAGAACGTCCAGGTCCGTCTTGAATGTGGGTGCAGCGCTGGAGGATGCCGAGCGGCTGTAGAAATGCACTGCGATGGCGACGGCGTGCAGTGGGGGCGGGTGGGAAGGATGCAGTGGAGTTGCATAGGATGGAGTGGGGTGGAATGGAATCGGGAGAGTGAGGTGGGGTGGCAAAAGATTCAACTTGTGGCATCCATGTGTAGTGAAGGCGTTTTTTGAGACTTCACAAGGTAAAGGTGGGAATAGAGGGTAATAGGTATACAGTATACTCGACAACGGAAAATGCATCGAGAGACATGGAGCACGTAAGCATGGATGTGGAGGCATGCACATGTCTATGGGCGGGCGGTACAAGTGCATCATGCACATGGGCATGTGGACATGCACGAATGTCCAGGCCTGTGTAACCCTGTGAGCAACCCTTCCGTCCATTTCTTAGGCACATTAAAGTGCATGTGCACAAGTGAAAGTGCATGTGGGCATGTGAAAGTGCATGTGGGCATGTGAAAGTGCGTGTGGACATGTGAAAGTGCATGTACGCATGCATGTATGTGCAGGCCTGTGTAGCCCTGTGAGCAATCCTTCCGACCACAGAACTGTTCCAGAGCCTGCTGCCGCTCTGCCACCCACCCTAGCCACCCGTCTTCCAGAACAGGAAAGCAGGAGCAAAGCCGGGCGGCAGACTGCGCAGTGCTGTTGGGGGGCTGCGAGAGGGGCGCTGCAGAGCAGGCAGGGCCTCTGGTTAGGCCTGACATCAGGCACCACCAACCCCCCGTATCGTATGCTCTTGATGATAGACAGTGCGAGCGTGTACTGAATCACCTTGTGCTGGAAGCTGACAACAGCCATTGAGTTTTGAGACGTCTCAAGAAAGAACATGCTTTATGAGAGGCTTCCAGGTCAGTGACCATAATCACGCACAAAACTTCTGTTGGCCATAGAGTGACGCATAATCCAGATTCCAGAGTTGTCGACAATGGATGTGACGCATAGAGCGTTGGTCAAACCTGATTCCAGGCTGACCATATCATACTCGGAAATTTGTGGCATGTTTCGAGACTGACCGTAGTCGATGTTTTGTAAGAAGCCTCAAAGGGACTGAGTGGTGTCAGGTTCGACCAACACTTTACCAAGTCGTTGCGTTTGGAGATGCCTCAAGGCTACTGACAGACCGTAGTCGTTGCAATTCGGGATGTATCAAGGGGACTGACTGACCATAGGGATCGTCAAGGGGACTGACTGACCATAGTCATGGACGAACTTCTGGTGTCGCTGAAAGGCGTTCATTGAGGAGCCTCAGAAACAGGCTGCTGAAGAGATGTGTCAAGGGGACTGACCATAGGGATCGTCAAGGGGGCTGACTGACCATAGTCATGGACGAACTTTTGGTGTCGCTGAAAGGCGTTCAGCCCGAGCAGATGGTCGCGGTAGTGCCTGGGAAAGGCGAAGAGAAGCGAAAGTGACAACAACGAGGGTGAATAAGGAAGCCCGCATTCAATCCCCGCAAGGGGTAGTGTCTGAGAAGAGGACGAGAAGCGAAACTTACTATAGCAAGAGGTGAAGGTTTATTTCAGGTGACTCGAAATGCACATTTGGCTTCGGCAAAGAAACCAGCAACGCAAGGCGAGCATGTAGTTTAGTTAATTCACGAAATTGGAATAACAATGAAAATCATTATGCTAACAGCTATAATCGGCAAAACAACAGCCACGAGAGACGAGAACGCACTGCTGGCTTTGCTGCTGCGAGAACACTTTGTCCTGCAGCCTCGAGAATGACGACATACTGCGACACGCCTTGAAAGAAGATCGAACTGCTAATGACGAACTGCTGCGACGCGCCTCAAAAGTAATTATCGACCGTTTACCCTTGCGAATGCCTGACAATGGGGTCGCGGCTAGCGTTGACTTGAGGAGCAACAGCAAGAGGCTTGGATGGGATGATCATCAATCGCTTCAAGGATTTAGTACGCATAGAGGCAACGGTGGAAGAACGATGGGAAGGAGGAGCAGAGCGAAGGGATTGCCCGTCATGATGACTGATGAAGGGCTAGGAAAAGAAGCGAGTGGAGGATTCAATAAACAAACTTTGTCAAACATACAGTCAGCACAATCTTTAGTGTACAAAGAATTATAACCGAGAAAAAGAATGCAATCTTAGCACTAAAGAAACAAAATATATGTTAAAAAACAACACACCACCTTATGTACACAGGCCTGTCAAATTAGCACCTTCCCTCCCCACTACCTTCCCCAACTCCACCTAACCTCTCTTCCCGAGCCTCAGCCGCAGCTTCGGCCCGAACGCGGTCCCGGTCCTTGGGATATGTCCAATATAACCACCCATAGCACGCACAGCAAATTGCAAACGGCACCGCCATAGTCCAAAACAAACCCAGGGACAATGCCTCAGCATTTTTCGCATCTGCTGCCATTTCTGCGTGGCTCCTGCTGCCGCGGCTGCACGAGCTACTGCTGCTAACACCATTCCCACTATCACCGCCCAAAGCAGTGGCATCGGCAGGTTTGGGCGAGGGTGGAATGTACCCGAACCAAGCCTGGGCGAGGTAGCCCACAGTGGGGGGGGCAAAGGCTGCTATGGACATTTCAAAGGTTCGGTCGAGAGCGTATATGTCCGTGCGGAGTCTCTCGGGGACAATCTCTGCGAATATGGGGCTGGGGGGTCGTGGGGAGATGGGGAGGGGATAGAGGGATAGGGAAAGAGCAAGGAAAGAAGGAAAGGCGAAGGAGGGAAAGAGTGAACGAGGGAAAGAGGGAACGCAGGAGAGAGAAAGATGGAAAGATACAAAGGTGGACAGCGTGAAAGACGTATAGAGAGAAAGAGGGTATGGGAGAGAATGACTGAGCCTGAGAAACGAAGGATGGGATGGCATGTTTTAATCATGCGCGCAAGGCATCATGCACACAAGCCATCATGCACACAAGGCATCATGCGCGCAAGGCATCATGCGCGCAAGGCATCATGCGCGCACACACAAGGCATCATGCACACAAGGCATCATGCACACGAGGCATCATGCGCGCACACACAAGGCATCATGCACACAAGGAATCAGGCACACAAGGCATCATGCGCGCAAGGCATCATGCGCGCAAGGCATCATGCGCGCAAGGCATCATGCACACAACGCATCATGCACATAAGGCATCATGCACACAAGGCATCATGCACACAAGGCATCATGCACACAAGGCATCATGCACACAAGGCATCATGCACACAAGGCATCATGCACACAAGGCATCATGCACACAAGGCATCATGCACACAAGGCATCATGCACACAAGGCATCATGCACACAAGGCATCATGCACACAAGGCATCATGCACACAAGGCATCATGCGCGCAAGGCATCATGCACACAAGGAATCATGCACACAAGGCATCATGCACACAAGGCATCATGCGCACAAGGCATCATGCGCACAAGGCATGATGCACACAAGGAATCATGCACACAAGGCATCATGCACACAAGGCATCATGCGCACAAGGCATCATGCGCACAAGGCATGATGCACACAAGGCATCATGCGCGCACACACAAGGCATCATGCACAGAAGGCATCATGCGCGCACACACAAGGCATCATGCACACAAGGCATCATGCACACAAGGAATCATGCACACAAGGCATCATGCACACAAGGCATCATGCGCACAAGGCATGATGCACACAAGGCATCATGCGCGCACACGCAAGGCATCATGCACACAAGGCATCATGCACACAAGGCATCATGCGCGCAAGGCATCATGCACACAAGGCATCATGCGCGCAAGGCATCATGCGCACAAGGCATCATGAGCGCAAAGCATCATGCGCGCAAGGCATCATGTGCGCACACACAAGGCATCATGCACACAAGGCATCATGCACACAAGGCATCATGCGCGCGAGGCATCATGCGCGCAAGGCATCATGCGCGCAAGGCATCATGCACACAAGGCATCATGCGCGCACACACAAGGCATCATGCACACAAGGCATCATGCGCGCAAGGCATCATGCGCGCAAGGCATCATGCGCGCACACACAAGGCATCATGCGCGCACACACAAGGCATCATGCACACAAGGCATCATGCACACAAGGCATCATGCGCGCAAGGCATCATGCGCGCACACACAAGGCATCATGCGCGCACACACAAGGCATCATGCACACAAGGCATCATGCACACAAGGCATCATGCGCGCAAGGCATCATGCGCGCACACACAAGGCATCATGCACACAAGGCATCATGCACACAAGGCATCATGCGCGCAAGGCATCATGCGCGCAAGGCATCATGCGCGCAAGGCATCATGCACACAAGGCATCATGCACACAAGGCATCATGCGCGCACACACAAGGCATCATGCACACAAGGCATCATGCGCGCACACACAAGGCATCACGCACACAAGGCATCATGCATACAAGGCATCATGCGCGCAAGGCATCATGCGCGCAAGGCATCATGCGCGCACACACAAGGCATCATGCACACAAGGCATCATGCACACAAGGCATCATGCACACAAGGCATCATGCGCGCAAGGCATCATGCGCGCAAGGCATCATGCGCGCAAGGCATCATGCACACAAGGCATCATGAGCGCAGGCATCATGCGCGCACACACAAGGCATCATGCACACAAGGCATCATGCACACAAGGCATCATGCATGCGAGGCATCATGCGCGCAAGGCATCATGCGCGCAAGGCATCATGTGCGCACACACAAGGCATCATGCACACAAGGCATCATGCACACAAGGCATCATGCACACAAGGCATCATGCACACAAGGCATCATGCGCGCAAGGCATCATGCGCGCACACACAAGGCATCATGCACACAAGGCATCATGCACACAAGGCATCATGCGCGCAAGGCATCATGTGCGCAAGGCATCATGCACACAAGGCATCATGCACACAAGGCATCATGCGCGCACACACAAGGCATCATGCACACAAGGCACCATGCACACAAGGCATCATGCGCGCAAGGCATCATGTGCGCAAGGCATCATGCACACAAGGCATCATGCACACAAGGCATCATGCACACAAGGCATCATGCACACAAGGCATCATGCGCACAAGGCATCATGCACACAAGGCATCATGCGCCTCCTGCAACGTTCCTAGAGCACAATCAGTCATTCCTGGTTGATTGAGCTAACCAATCTTCTAATGACCCAGTGAAGTGAACTAACTGTAGTGGCTCACTAGCATTGCAGTGAAGCAACTATAGTGGCTCACTAGCAGCTGCCCTGTTTGTTTCTCGCATTGCTGACCTGCTTCCAAATACACTCACTTGTTGGTGCCCGCAGCATTCCATGAGATAAGAAACCCCATGAGGGTTAACACCATAATGTACACCCCAAAATAATCAGGCGAATGCGGCACTACTCTCAGCAGCACCGTCGACAGCACCACCGCCGAACCAGCACTGATCTGCGCACACACCAGCCTCCCTCCATCCGGCCACCTTCTAGCCATCACATCCCCAAACCACCCGCCGAACAGGCCCCCCAGGCTGCACGCGACAGTGAACACAGAGAGGAGAACTGCAGTGGAGGCGTGGGAGAAGCCGAGGAGCTCGAACCACATGGGGAAGAATGCGCCTGCTGCCCAGGGGAATGAGCCCACGACCCCCTGGGCTATGATCAGCTGGAAGGTTCGAATTCGGAGGACTTTGAGCACGTCTGAGAGGAATGTGGAGGAGGGAGGGGAGGAGAGGGGGGTGGGAGGGAGTGGGGAGGGGTGGGGATGGGAGTGGGGAGAGTGGGATGGGGAGGAGGCGGAGATGCGGTGGTGGGAGGTGGAGTGGAGTGGGGTTGATTCGTTGACTTGAGACTGTTGCTGCTGCTGCACCTGCTCCTGCTGGTGCTGGTGATGCTGCTGCTGTTGCTTCAAGTGTAGGCTGTGGTCTTCAGACAGCAACGGTTCTACAGTGCGCTCCTCTTGTGCGCCGGGCTCATCGGCAAGAGCAGCCAACGCGTCGACTGACCTGATGGAGAGAGCGGGGAAAGACAGCGAGAGTGGGAGAGAGGGAGCCGGGAGAGAAGGGGGGGTTGGGCGAAGGAGAGCTGAGTTAAGGGTGCTGGTTGCAATGGCTCTGCAGTGCGCTTCTCTTGTGAGCCCAAAGGAGGCATAGCAGGCGAGGCAGATGCCGAGGGTGAATCCGAGTATTTTACTGATAGAGTCAACTCGAAGCTCACTTGACTATGGTTGGCGTGGGGTCGTGCGCAAATAGCCAGAGCACAGCCGTCAGCCCCAGGCTGACGAGTCATGATAATAAACGCCATGCACCACCAGCCAGCGAGACCATAGAAGGCGTAGCAGGCGAGGGAGACGCCGAGGGTGAGGGGTTGAATGCACTCGATAGTCGACTCAAAACTCACTTGACCGTGGTGGGTGGGGGGTCGTGTGCGGAGAGCCAGAGCACAGCCGCGAGACCCAGGCAGACTATAATGAATGCCATGCACCAGCCGGCGAGGCGAAGAAGGCACAGCAGGTGAGGGAGATGCCGAGGGTGAAGCTGAGGATGTATTGTGTTACAATGAAATGTGTTCGACTCAAAACTCACTTGACCGTGGTGGGAGCCGAGTCGTGCACGAAGAGCCAGAGCACAGCCGCCAGTCCCAAGCTGACGACCGTGACTATAATGAAGGCCATGAACCAGCCAGCAAGGCAGAAGAATGCATAGCAGGCGAGGGAGATGCCGAGGGTGAAGTGGTGAACATTACTTCTAAGTCAACTCAACACTCACTTGACTGTGGTGGGAGGGGGGTCGTGTGCGAAGAGCCACAGCACGGCCGCCAAACCCAGGCTGACAACCGTCACGATAATGAAAGCCATGCGCCAGCCGGCTAGCCCAAAGAAGGTGTAGCAGGCGAGGGAGATGCCGAGGGTGAAGCCGAGGATGTTGCCAAAGTTGGTCACGAACTGCAGCCAGCCGAACGCCATGCCCCTCGTGCTGTTGCTGGCTGAATCGGCGACGAGCGACTGGATGGCTGGGATGACTAGGGCTAGCCCGACTCCATTCAAACCCCTCCATGCCGCCACCTGGGTGGAGGAGAAAGGGCGGGGTTGGTGGATGGGTGGGGAAGAGGGAGGAAGGAGGGAGAGAGGTGGTGAGAGAAGCGGGGGGGGCGTCCTAAGTGTGAAGCCATGAGGATAGTGTAGCAACAGCTGCTGGCGAACTGTAGCCAGCCAAGGCCAAGGCCATGCCAGTAACTAATTCCGCCACAAGGAATGTTGCTGGCGGAGTTAGTGACGTGATGAGTGACAGGCTGGCTGGGATGACCAGCGCTGGGCCGGCTCTGTTCAGGCCCCTCCGTACGAGGTGACTTTTGAGTCGACTCAAAAGTCACCTCGTTACAATGACCTGCGCTAGGCTGGCTCCGTTCAGGCCCCTCCATACCGCCATCTGCGGGTACAGCACGCCGGGACGGAGCGGAGGAAGAAAGAGAGGGTGGGCGGGCAGGGAAGTGGGTGGTGGGAGCGGGAGAGGGAGTGCAATCGCTAACGAAGAGCAAACCTAGAGTTGGTGAGAAACTGCAACCAGCCGAACGCTAGGGCCACATGTGGTAGCTGGTGTCCCTTTGGAGAATAATCCAGAGTGATTCCATAAGGTAGTAAGGAGTAACCTCATAGAAGGTAGCCTCATAGAAGTTGGTGGTGATACTACCAACGCCCAGAGTGGTGATGGCCCACGTGAACGCACCTGCTGCAATTACTCGCACTCACATGCAGGCGGTGGGCAGTTGCAAGTGGCAGGCGCAAGTCACCCCACCCATTAAACTCGAACCAAGCTTTTCAGTCCTCCCCTCACTGCTCCTTACCTCGTACTAGTTGGTGGCAATGCCAACCCCCAGAGTGGCGATGGCCCATGTGAACGCATTCACTGCAATCACTTTCACACACGAGCACTTGCATGCAAGAAGGCGCAAGTCACCCCAACCATTCACCTCGAAACAGCTTCAATGTACTCCCCCACTCCACCTCACCTCATAATAGTTTGTGGCGACCCCAACGCCCAGAGTGGCGATGGCCCATGTGAACGCACCCACTGAGATCACTTTCACTCGAGCCATCCAGTGCGCCAGCCATGGGGCGAGCGGGCAGGTTAAGGCCTGGCAGGGGTCACAGAATGGAGGGCAAGACACGGAGGGCAAGACACGGAGGGCAAGACACGGAGGGCAAGACACGGAGGGCAAGACACGGAGGGCAAGACACGGAGGGCAAGACACGGAGGGCAAGACACGGAGGGCAAGACACGGAGGGCAAGACATGGAGGGCAAGACACGGAGGGCAAGACACGGAGGGCAAGACACGGAGGGCAAGACATGGAGGGCAAGACACGGAGGGCACAGAAAGTTCGGAAGGAGGATAGCGACTGTGGGAACGGGGAGCATGTGAGTGTGAATGCCGTTCGAATCACACAAGGCAGTCAGTACACCAACCATGAAGCGAGGAGGACACGTGAAGGCGTGGCGGTGGTGGGCATGGGAGAGGTTGGAAGGAGCTGAGTGAGGGTGGGCTTCGAGTCGGTTCACAGCAAATGAAGCCAGGCCGTCACAGCAAATGAAGCCATCACAGCAAATGAGGCCGGGCCGGCCAGGGGGCTAGAAAGGATGCCTGTAATCTCTCCCTCCCCACGAACCCAATTTCCCCCCATTCCCCACGTGCAAGCAACCAATCCCTCTTTCCCACCCCCCTCCCCGCCCCCAGGCCTGCACCTGCACGAGAGTGAGAGAGCAAGTTTTAGACGCCTGTAACAGCACTCCCCCTCTTCCCCACTCCCCCTCCCCCCCCCCTTACCCCCACGAACCCAATTTCCCCCCATTCCCCACGTGCAACCAATCCCTCTTCCCCCCCCCCATCCCCGCCCCCAGGCCTGCACCTGCACGAGAGTGAGAGAACAAGTTTTAGACGCCTGTAACAGCACTCCCCCTCTTCCCCACTCCCCCTCCCACCCCGCCTCCCGCACGCCCCCAGCTCCCCACCTGCACGAGCGCGCGCACGAGCGTGAGAGTGCCCAGGGCCTGCGGGGACGCGTGAAAGGCCTGCCCCACCTGACCAGGGGAGTGGGGGAGTGAGATGGGGGGAAAAGGCGGAGGGACCGGAAAAGGGGGGGGTGTGGGGGGGAAAGTAATGGGAGGAGTAAGGGGGAAGAAGGGGGGTTGGAAGTTTGCAGGGTAAAAATGAGGACTGGAGAAATGAAAATAACAGAGGAGCGCAGAATGTCTGACACACGTGAAGCGGGAGGCGGCGAGTGGAAGGGAATGTGTGTTCGCGGATTTTTTTGTCTGACGGTCGACTTTTCTAGTCAAATCTCGAGTCGAGTTTGGAGTCAATTTCTCGAGAAATGCTTTGCTATCCGTGTATGAGATTTCGCATTACGCACACCTCGTTATAAACAGCAGGAAGAAGCGCCTCGTCTGCCCTCTCTACAATCGCGGCGATGTTGACTAGAACGAGGGTGCGAAGCCGAACGTCCTTCCACCATGACCACATGACGCCAGCCCTGAGATTATAGCGAGAGGATGACGCGACGTGAGTAACGACGTCTTTAATCGTCGACGCGGATCTAGGCGAGAGCGAGGAGGTGGAAGGAGGGCTACGCGAGCCTACGCGCGGCGACGATCGAGCTTTAAAGCTCATGGCAGGACGCGCTACACTAAATATTCAGTCGACTCGAACGCCGCTACGCGAAGGCGCTGCAACGCGGGAATCGACGGCCGCCGTTGAATGGCCAAGCCCGGGCTGCATCACTGGTGGCTGTCAGGATTTAGGATTGAGTTGCTGTGAGGTGGGAGTGACAGACTGATGAAATCCGGCTTGTTTGTGCGAATCTGCATGCACATGCATTCACACACACACAACCTCGAGATTGCTGCCTGATGTTTGGCGTAGTAATGCTTCGATTGTAGCAAGGAGAGCGAGTTCGCTGTAGTGAATCTCTACACCGCGCAACCAACAAAATGCATCACTGACTAGTCTCCCCCCATTCTAACTCCATTCTATATTTGCAAGCAGTGTAATAGAGCAGCGAATGGTACTTTCAACACATGACAACCTCAAGGCCGCCATTGCCAGGTCCAGGTTCGGAGTACCCAATGTCCATCAATTTCTTGTCGAGTGGCAATCTAAAGCCTAGAACTGTAATCGCACTGACAATAGGAATCCAGCGATACTATTATTGTGTTCATACAGCGAACATTTCTATCAATGGTTTATTGTCAGGCAGTATCAAGGCTCAAACTAACTCAGAAAGCTCAAGGACAAGGGAAACTACAGTTGCCTCTGATCCTATCAAAGTATCAGCCTGGCGCAATGGCATTATCAAAGCGCTGCGACGAATGTTTAAGAACTATATCTACCCCAACAAAATGAAGCATTGTCATCAGTCATCAAGGGAGCGTCCCGTGCTCAGTTTCTGTACCTTATCAGCCATCGAGAGGCTGCTTCAAGCTCTTCATCATCGCACGATGGTGTGAGAATTGAAACGAGAATGAATCAACTATGAAATGAGTGAGTACAAGTACTAACCCTAATTGGGTTTTACCCCCTATGGGATACCCCACTATAGCCTACACAAATGTATAAGCTATATAGCATTCTGACACACCCCCATAGGCAAAGTGGGGCAGAACAAGGGGTCACAAGACCAGTCAAGTAAAGCAAAGCAAAGCAAGCTCAGGGTGGATCACAAAGTCACCACACAGTCCGAGCACAGGGTCAAGGCCACACGGCCAGTTCACATGCAAGAGTACACACATATATATAAAGCTAGACAAGCAAGGGCAGGTACATATATATATGTGAGAGTACAAGCAAGGTCAAGAGGAGAGCAAGTGAGGCAAGACGGGCACAAGACCCAGCTGAGTGCAGAAGCGCTGATGATCACAAGGCGGAAGTGCCTTGGTGAAGACATCAGCAGTGTTGGCCTCAGAGGCCACGTACGCAAGCCGCAACTGTCCACGCTGCTGTAGCTCACGAACAAGGAAGTAGCGGAGAGCAATGTGCTTTGTTCTGTGCTCCAGTCGCTGCTCTTGACACAAGGCCAGCATGGCCTTGTTGTCTACGTACAGGACTGGAGGAGAACGGGGCGGCTCTCCAAGGTCGGTCAGCAGGTAGGTGAGCCAGCAAAGCTCCTGTGCAGCCATGGCCCCCACGTAGATCTCAGCCTCACAACTGGAGCCAAGAACAGAAGACGAGCGAGTAGCCCGCCACGAAACAGAGCCGGAACCAAGGCTGAAGGTGTAACCCTGTGACGACCGCTGCGTAGCCTGGTCGTCAGCCCAAGAAGCGTCCGCGTGCCCAGTGAGGACCACAGGACTCCGCCCTCCAAGCACTAGCCCCATGCCCGACGTACTGCACAGGTAGCGCAACACCCTCTTCGCTGCAGCCATGTGCTCTGGTCGGTGTCTCCCAGGAGCAACATAGCGTGCGAGAATGCTAAGAGGGTATGCAAGGTCAGGTCGTGTGCAGGTCATCAGGTAAATGAGGCAGCCAACAAGCTCTGGGTACGGGCCACTCGACTCTACGGACTCATCCGAAGGCAGAGCTGAGAGCGAGTGGCGAGTAGACAGAGGAGTGGCCTGAGGCGAAGAGTACGTGAAGCTGAAGCGCTGAAGGACCTGCTGCACCATGTGTGACTGAGTCAGGGTAATGGTGCGGCGTGCTCTGTCCCGGGTGATCTGCAAGCCAAGGTAGCTGCGCAGTTCACCCAGGTCTGTGCACGTGTGTCTCTTCTGCAGCTCGGACTTCACGTAGGCGAGTCCAGCAGTGTCAGCTGTGGCAAAGACCAAGTCGTCGACGTACACGAGGATGTAGAACGGCGGAAGAGAGGTGTCGGTGCGCAGAAACAGCGACGGATCGGCAGTAGAAGGAGCAAACCCAAGAGCCGCAAGCGTAGTCCTCAGTGTGTCGTGCCACTCACGTGGCGCCTGGCGGAGACCGTAGACTAGACGCCGGAGACTCCACTGGGTACCAGGAGGGAAACACCCAGTGAAGCCAGGTGGGCGACGCAGCCAGATCTCCTCGTGCAGGCTGCCCTGCAAGAAAGCTGTTCTGAAGTCAAGAGAGTGCAGCTCGTAGTCACGGTGAGCAGCAACGTGCAGCAGTACCCGAAGAGTGGTCATCTTCGGGGTGGGGGAGAAGGTCTGAAAGTAGTCAACTCCCTGCCGCTGACTGAAGCCACGAGCCACGTAACGCGCCTTGAAGACAGGCGGAGAACCCGGCGGCCGCTTCACCCTGAAGATCCACATGCCACTGACGATGTTCGCCCCAGGAGGGGGGACAGCGTCAACGTAGGTGCCTGTGGACTTCCAGGAAGCCATCTCTGCATCCATAGCTGCCTACCACTGAGAGGAGTAGGGACCCTCTATCGCCTCCGCGTAAGAGCGCGGAGTCGGGATGTCAAGTGCATCCGGGTCTCCCTCAGGGGTAAGCAGTACGAACACGAGATGAGGTGAAGCAGCTGCCAGGCACTGGAACTCCTCCTGCCTGTCCTCAAGGACGTCCGTGCCAAGGGCACACTCACCCCCGACGAACGGAGGACAGACAGACTCAGACTCAGCGACAAGACTAGCAGCGTAGTCTAAGCGACAGCGAGCAGCAAAGTCGACGAGCTCAGTAACGAGAGCAGACGCAGCAGTAGACTCGAAAGAAGGGTCAGTGACAACAGAAGCAAGGAGACGCGAGACAGTAGGACTGGCAGCACGAAGAGAGTCCGACTCCGGGTCGGCAAGAGCAGGAAGAGAGGACTCAGGAGGAGAAGGCAAAGGGGCACGTAGAGGAGCAGTGGACGGACGCAGAGACATCCGGTGCGTGCCAGGGACAGGAGGAGGACGCTGACGCGAACCGCGACCACTAGTGCGAGTAGCACGGACAGGCGACGCAGGGCGAGACGCAGGCTCACGACGCTCAGCCAGACCTCCAGTAGGACCAGTGTAGGGAGAAGGAGCAGGCAAAGGGGAGGTAGGCTGCAACTGTAGCTGGGACGGGACAGGCTGTGGACAGTCTAAGGGAGGAGGAGGACCAGTAGAAGGTGGAAGACCAAGAACCTGCTGCAGGAGTGGAACGAAGTACGGTCGAGGCCGCGTGGCAACGCCAGAAGCAGCAGGGACAGCACTAGAACCCTCAGCAGGAGCACCCGCTCCAGCAGCACCACCAGTAGCTCCAGAACCTCCAGCAGCACCAGGAGCACCCCCAGCAGGACCGTCAGCGGTAGTCTCAGCGCCAGCACCCTCAGCAGCACCTCCAGTAGGAGCACCCGCTCCAGCAGCACCTCCACGAGCTCCAGAACCTCCAGCAGCAATAGGAGCACCCCCAGCAAGACCGCCAGTGGTAGTCTTAGCGCCAACACCCTCAGCAGCACCAGCTCCAGTCGAACCTGCAGGCCCAGCAGCTCCAGTACTCGCAGGACAAGTACCTCCGGGACCCGCGACAGCAGCACCCTCAGTAGCCGACGAACCTCCAGCACCAGCAGCACGGCTCCAGCACCGGGCAAACCACTCGCGCAGCTCCTGTGGAGAGAGTGGCTCCCGGCGAGACGTAGCACCCGGAGAACCTCCAGGCGGAGCACCTCCAGGCTCAGCACCCCCAGGCTCAGCACCCCCAGGCTCAGCACCCCCAGGCTCAGCACCCCCAGGCGTAGCATCCCCAGGCTCAGCACACCCAGGCTCAGCACCCCTAGGTTCAGCACCCCCAGTAGCTGAAGAACCTCCAACACCAGCTGCACGGCTCCAGCGCCGGGCAAACCACTCGCGCAGCTCTTGTGGAGAGAGTGGCTCCCGGCAAGACGAAGCACCCGGAGAACCTCCAGGCGGAGCACCTCCAGACTCTGCACCCCCAGGCCCGGCACCCCCAGGCAAAGCACCCCGAGGCGTAGCACCCCCAGGCTCAGCACTCCCAGGCTCAGCACCCTCAGCAGCACCAGAGTCACCAGTGACCTCGTCAGGCTCGACTTCATCTACCTGGGACACACCTGAAGGGGCAGTACCCTGAGGGGGGAGGGGGTCTACGTGGGGGGGACCTCGTACAAGGAAGAGCGGGGGCGGGGGGAGGGACGGAGTGCGGTAGGGGAAGAGGCGGTAGTAGGGGACCGACTCGTCGAACGTGACGTCTTGGGAGGTCAGAACACGGCGAGAGGTGGGGTGGTAGAACTGCCCCAGGAAGACGCAAGGAGCAGCACGAGGGGACAGCTTGTCTGCAGACAAGTCGCGGACAAACGCCCGAGATCCCCAGACCCGGAACGCCGACGCATCGCCAACCTTCCCCGTCCACAGCAAGGCTGGGGAGGTCTCCGGCCTGGAGACCCTGGGGTGAAGGTTGATCTGATGCGCCGCGTACCTGACCGCAAACGGCCACAGAAAATGGGGGGCAGCCGCATGCATCATGGACGTACGAGCGATGTCCATGACCATGCCAATGCGGCGCTCAGCAATCCCATTTTGCTGCGGAGAGTCCGGAAGCGTGAAGGTTTGACGGATGCCCCGTGCGCGACAGTA